CGAGCTTTCAGAATAATAAATAAACACTTCTGTTTGGAATAAAATAAACTTTTAAATTATTGCAGAGTGTCCAATCTCATATCGCAGCTCGAGTATGCTGAGAAGACGGTTTAATCCTATGCTTTCCACGACCGGCATTGGCTGGTCATCCAGAGCGATAAAATGAGTCAGAGCCTCTGTTATTTTAACTGCCCGTGGATTTTCTCTTGACATTTTTCATCGCTTTTCCAAAACCTGAGTTAAAGTTGGCTGTTCCACACTGCTGACATTTTAGTTTCTCTCGCCTAACCCTGTGCCTGTTTAGCTCGGGATGTCCCCCTAGTGGCCAATCTAAAAAACTACAACAGAAATGACAAGCCACCCTCTGATTAATGAAATAAGTTGGTATCGGTTAACTTTTACGAGTATGAGTACACACACATTTTACAGTATCGGCCCCGATACCCGATACCAGTATCGGTGCATCCCTAATAACGACTGAAACCAGCCCACTGAAGGAACAATGGGCTGTGAGGTCAGTTCCTTAATCTTAATTGCAAATTCTCATGACCATTGATCAACAACCACTGACCAAAACCCTACAATGCTGTGACTGCAGCCATTCCCCAACTCTCTGTGAATGGTACTCATGGCCACTGATCAATGGTCATGAGAATTTGCATAATTATGATTCAGGAACTGACCTCACAGCCCATTGTTCCTTCAGTGGGCTGGTTTCAGTCGTTATGCAAATGTACTGTTTATAAGATTGAAACCTGCAGTCAGCTGAGACTGAAGAAGTCACCTGGACGAGTGACGAGTTTCTCCCAGAAAACGCTACGTCCAGATGAACAGAATCAACTTTTGGAGATTTATTTTCCTGGATGATTGAGAATGCATCAAGACATAAGTTACCAGAAGTTTACAGAGTGAGCATAAACGAACTGTCACACCTCAATCTAACATTTTATTGACTTTTGAGCCAGAATAGCTCTGGTCCCATTATTTTTTCACATTAATGTCGTGTCATAACAGTAAAGTTGGCCACGTCTATATCCAGTGTTGGGTAAATCCGCAGGATTTGTCAGGCAGGGTCAGGAGAGCTGTGCTCACATGTTGCTGCCATAGTTTAAACTCCTCAGCTGTAAATAAACACTGATTAGTGCAGCTGACAGCACAGCAAGTATCTGACATTTTAGCTTTTAAGTGAAACTGGAAGATGTTCAAAGGCCAGCTGAAGAACAAAGGACCGCACTACTGCAGATGGCCACTAGATGGCAGCAGCTCCCTCTCTGTGACAGCAGCTCTGCAGCAGTTTGATGCAGTAAAGGAGCCTCTGTAGGTTCAGGCTGAACT